GCAATTTGCTCACGTTGCTGGTAGAGTTGGCAGCCCCTGAGCTGGTGGGGAATGGAGATCAGGGAGCGAGTGGCTTTTGGATTGATCACAGAGTGCGTAACTGTCACAAGATCCCCTGGCAAGAGCATCCAAAAGGACAAGTGGAGAGGAGGGCAATTGCTGCGGGCAGCGGGTACGAGATCAGGGATGGCCAGCAGTGGATCCACATGGTGGATCACCCATGCAGGACCAAACAGGCTGCTGGAGAGGGAGCAACCAGCTCACCCCTGCCTGCAGCAGCGACACTCAGCTCTGGGTAGAGGCAAAATGCCATGGGGAGTGAAGCTCTTTCCTGGCTTGTGTCTTGTTTCTTCTCTCTTCCTATCCCTCATTTGTCCCCCGAGATGTTCTCTGTCTCTCAGCCAACAGCAGGAGGAGGTGGCAGGGCCAGAGATGGCTTTGCTGTCGTGGTGTGAGAGGGGTTTTGGTGTGGCAGAGGTGGTGCAGATGGTGACTCAGGAGGCTGGAGGCCGGGATGCAGGCACTGAGCAGTGGAGAACTCTGTGTGTATAACATACGCACACAAAGAGGAAGACCAAACTACTGCATAAAGAGAGGTTGAGAACTACCGCCAAATGTCCTCCACAGCAGAGGGTGCCAGGCCTTACACCCCTGGAGACTCTGCTGCTCAGATCTGGCAGGCTCCCTGAGCTCCCCCTGGCAGGGCTGCTCACTGCCTGTGGGCAGCACGATGCCAACTCAGTGCTTGGCCCTGTGGTGCCCGCTGCCTGTGGGCAGCACTGGTCTCCTAGGACAGCCCTACAGCAAAAGGCCCAAAGCAGAGCTGCCTCTGGCTCAGGCCTGTCAGAGTCTCCTTGCAGAGACTTCAGTCTTTGATGATTGCAGTCCCTAACAAAAAGATCTCCAAGGGGTTTTGGTAGTCTTTGCTTGGAGCTCCTCCACCATGTGATGAAGCTCATCTGGGCCTGCACTTTGATGTGTGGGCTTTTGGGACCCCAGGTCTGTGCTGATTCCTCCCCATCTTTGCCCCAGGACATGCTGGCCCATTCTGCAGCCTGCAAAAGTGGAGCTGAACCCTTCAGGCTGCCGGCTGCCACACTTAGCTCTAGTTTCTTTCCACGTCCCGGATCATCACCCTGTTGCAGTCCAGTGTTGCTCCTCCTAACTGCTGCCTACTATGCAGTGTCCCTCTGGGACTGCCATTAGGGCTGCCCCCCCTTGCCGAAACGCGTAACCCTGTACCCGTGGAGATGTAATCCCACCTCCCCTGCACACACATCTTATGCCCCCAGCTCTTTGCGGGCAGGGGTGGCTCAGCAGCCCCCCAGATTCCTGTCAGTTCTGCAGGGGGTGATAGAATCACTCTCCTTAGTGAAACCCATCCAGGACTGCACACAGATGTGATCTCCATGTTGCTGATGGGTGCCTCTGCTGCAGCTCCTCACACTTTCTCTCCTAGCAGTGTAAGGGGCTGAGAGGCATAAATCAGCCCGCTTCCTCCTCGCAGTGACACCGCATTTGCAGGACAGAAGTAAACCATGGGTTCCCTTTTCAGCATCATGACTACCCTGATCCAGTTCTCATGGCTGCTGACCGCTCCTGAACACTAGCCTAGATTTTCTCCCAGAGCTGAATGTTGCCGTCCCCACTGTCGTGTTAAGTAACCATTTCATCTTGGCCCTGTCCAGTAGTGTTCATCTCTCTCCTCCCTGCTCTGCGGATTCCTGATACAAACTTGATTTTTTTTGTATTGAACAGTGTACAGTGATGGAAACAAGAATGACTATCAAAGCAAACAATGCATGGAATAAAAAGCCAGTGTACTTCAATGCTTCTCAGGCTGGTCTGGTGATCTGGGAAGGGTTTCTCATGTACTTTGGGATAATATCATGAAGTCTTTTAATAACTAACATGATGTTAGTGAGCAGCTGCTTGTTACACGTCTGTGAACACAGTTGAACTGGAACTACTGGGAGCTCCAAGTAGCAGGGCAGAGGCTTGGTTGCACACATGTAGCCTACCAAGCACCCAGGTTATTGGGTTTTGCTCTTGTCAAATGAGTGATTTTTGCAGTGAGAGCTGGGGATGAAATCTGTGACTTATCCTGGGAACCTTGTTGTCCCACTCAGTTCCAACCCTGCTGGTGGGGATGATGCCAAAATAGATGGATGATGTTCACTGTCAGCTTCCTGAGTGCTGCAGGGTCTCCCATCTGCCCCCTTCCATGCCATAGTTTACTTTATCATCCAAGTGGAGGGCAAACTGATGGAGAGTACACCAAGGAGGTACAAATACCAAAAACCCAGAAGCATAGTATCATCCCCAGGGGCTTGTTCTCCAGCAACTGGGACAGAGCCTACCTGCTTAGCTGGAAACCTAGTTCCACTTGAGCAAACATGCAGGTCTAAAGGTGCTTCTTTTCAAGGACAAATCACTGCCAGCCAGGCCCATCTGTTCTTTTTTTTTTTTTTTCCCCTCTCTTTAGTCCTTGTGAGGAGGCACAGCCACTGACAGACCTCAGAAGTAATCTCGTGTTCTGACATATAAATGATGCATACAGGCAGTGCAGAGCTGGCTCCAAATCCTGAATGATTTTGTTGAATGATTTTTGTTTTGAATGACAGATGAAAAGTCTTCCACATCTGTGAAAGCTCTCCCACAGAAGCTGCAGGGACCCTGGAAACATCATCACTTTTCTCCAAACTTGGTACTTATACTACTGCACCTAACATCACCAAAGTGCTTGGTGTGTCATTTTAGGCCAAAAATGTGTGGGTTTGGAGAGGGCAGGGGGAGGAGGGAGTACGGCCTTGCTAAAGCTGGGAAACACTGCTAATAAGAGTGGGGGTGAAAAAGAGCCAAAGCTTTTGCTGTTGCAGCTCAACACACCTCCACAGGCTGTGTACTCATCGGTGCCAGGGGAGGTGGCCGAGCAGAGAACCAGCCCGCCTTGCTCTCAGAGCAGGCAGCAGCTCTTGGCTGCCACCTCGGTCACACCTTGGAGACTAGCTGGGCTCACAAAGCTGGACTTAGTGGGCAGTGTGGGAGCCCAAGGGAAGCCGGTGACTTGGGCTGGTAGGGAGAATGGAGGGAGCATGGTGCTTGGCCCCAGTGTTCAAGAGCTGGGAGGGAAGAAAGGGTTCCGTTTTGCCTTCCTTGGGGGATGCTAATGCTCCTGGTTTGTTTTTTTCCCCCCATCACTAATACATCTTTAGTGAGCTGGCACCACACTCAGGCACAGGCTGATTTAAAAGAAAACAGGCAAATTAACTGAAGTAGTCACAAAGACCCTGTATAGTGCTCTCCGTGCAGATACACGCAGTTAAACATTCATTAAAAATAAGAACCTTACACCTCCTCTTAGACGAGAAGAACAATTAAAAACTGCAATTGTCCCTAGTCCACGGTGGCACAGTGCATGCAAAATATAACCCACAGGAACAGAGACCTGCAGCTTTTGCAAAGCAGTCCCGCAACATCTGGGGCACCTGGGCCATCACAAGCTCTTCCTGCCATTGAGGAACTGAGCATGCTTGTCTTCATCCAGCTTCAAGTGCTTCTTGCTATATTTCTTGATGAGGGTCCCTGGTATCAATGCTGCCACAGCCATTGCAAGCAGTTTGAGCAGCGTGTTCCAGGAGAAAATGGCATCCAAAGAAGTAATTTGTGACAGAATGGCTCCTGTCTGCACACAGATGAAATTATATGGTGTAAGACCTGAAAGAATCAGAGCAGAAAAAAGCCTGTTAGCACCCCCCCATGTAAAATTAGCTCAAATCTTCCCTTGCTCAAGGCCAGGCCAGACACAGGGGTCTGTGTTCATAGAACAGGGTGTGTTTCAAAAATCTGCTGCACTGATGATGCACATGTATTTGCAAAATACTCCAAGACCTCCGAGTATAAGGGTGGCAGGAAAGCAAACAGGTAAATTGAGGCAGAGTCACAGGTCAAACCCTGCTGCTCTGCCCTCCCCAGCTCAGTGTACTGCCCAAGGCTCAGCGATGAGAGGCAATGTCACACTGCCTCCTCAGTGTCCCCAGCCTTACCGATGAGAACAGAGAAGAAGAACTGGGACACAGGGATGTTTAAAATGGGAGCTGAGAGATTCAGAAACCAGTTTGGTGTCATAGGGAACAGCCTCAGGAACAACAAGAAGAAAAATAAGCAGCTCCTGTTCTCTTCCACCTGCCAAAAGAAACATTTCAAATTGCTTCTACTCTTCAGACAGCAGTAATGTCTGAATAGCCACAATACTATGGTGAATATAAGGGTTTTTTTTAACATAACATTATCCAGAACTGATGAAAAGTGGCAACTTCATGGGACCCTAAGGGTGAGCTAGCCCCTTCCATGCAAGTGGTGAAACTGGGATCTAACCTGAATGAAAAATTGGGAGGTGAACAGGAGAACCACTTCCAGCAGTACAGGATGAGTGGAGGCAGTTGGGGCTTCCCAATCAATCCATTATCTTCTGATTTCCTTGGGATCTGGGATTTTCCATGCACCCCCTTTGCAATCAGGCTTGCTCCCAAGAGAGTGGTCTGCTCCTAGATTGCCTCAGAAGAGGCCCTTAACTGATTTCACAGAATCATCTGGGTTGGAAAAGCCCTTGAAGCTCCTCCAGTCCAACCATGAACCTCACCCTGACCGTTCCCAACTCCACCAGATCCCTCAGCGCTGGGTCAGCCCGACTCTCCAACCCCTCCAGGGATGGGAACTCCCCCCCTGTCCTGGGCAGCCCATTCCAACGCCCAACAGCCCCTTCTGCAAAGAAATACTGCCTCAGAGCCAGCCTGACCCTGCCCTGGTGCAGCTTGAGGCCATTCCCTCTTGTCCTGGTGCTGGTTCCTTGGCTCGAGAGACTCATCCCCCCTCTCTGCACCCTCCTTTCAGGTTTGCATGAAGATTTGATGTATCCCCTGCACACATTTGTTTTTTTACTAAGTCCACCCAAAAGACAGCCTCACCCAGGGGCTATTCTGGGTGTCTGCAGAGCCACAGCTGCTTACCTTTCTCTGCAGCAGAGCCACTTTATCAGGAAAGTAGTAGACAACGAACTGCTTCCCGAACGCGCCCGAGAGCAGGTAGCAGAAGGTCGCTCCCACAGACGTCAGGGCCGAACACAGCACCAGCCCAGTCCACGGCCCAAAGAGTGCTCCAGCCAGGACGTTCTGCCGGGGCACGACACCGAGTGAGAGCCCGCGGGGACCCGCGTGTGCCCCCTCCGCCCGGCCGCCTTCAGCCTCGGCGGCTCCCGAGGGCATCGGACAGGTCCGCCTCCCCGCACAGAGCCGTGACTCGCCCAGCCAGGCGCCGACCTGGCACCC